TGCTCCTATACTATTTGCTATGGAGGAGTTCCCTGAATTGCGAGCCATTGTCGATCAAGGATTCGAGAACTCTGCCAATGTGGATCGCGTAAGTCTATGAGATTCTGAAATATATATATAAACAAATTAATAAGAAAAAACAAGTGAGTATATAAAAGCAAAGGGAAAAACTTCATTTCAAGATGAAATTACAGGCTCTCGAGTATCTTGGAAAGAGTCGTGGGATTCAAAAAACGAGAGAGCTGGCAGCAAAGCACGCCAGCCTGGCTTCAGCTGCAATCGATTCATTTCCGGAGAACGATGATGAAAATGTGCAAAAGTCAAGGAGGGCACTTGTTGACTTAACACAAAGAGTCATTACAAGGTCAAAGTAAGAAAAGATCGTTCGGTGATTCTTCATTATAGCTCAGGCCACACGGGCAGACAGGTTTAGGAAAGTTTTGTTCCTTATTCAGCTTTTCATGGTACGATCAAATAAATGTTCCCCCCTCAAGCTAAACCGGCCTGTAACCTAGTCATATCCATTGTAAAATATGTGCAAATTCGAAATATTCTGCTAGGAGATTTTATCGGTCCAGGAGGGTTTTTCGAACCTTTCTCTATGGGTTCTTCTTTGTTTTTTTTTTTCCTTTTTTTTTCTGGGAATTTTTGGAACTTGTTTGATTACTGTTTAATCGTCTTAAAGGAAAAGCACCATTGATTTTTCGATCAAAACTTTGGACCTTACACGGGTGATACTACAGTATGGAACTCGATGCTTAGTTTTCGATACGATGGTTTTATGAACTTTTCGGAATGGGTGTCATTTTTTTTTTCTAATGAGATCTATTGTTGTTTTGGGATGTTTTGGATGAAAGAGTTTTATGGCTTGCATTGAAAGTTATGGGCATATTTGTTCAAATCATTATTGTATCAAGCATGGTTTAGAAAACCGGACTGGCCAGCCCGTCCGGTTGAATCGGGAACCGGCCAGTTCACCGGTCCGGTCTCTAGAAATAACCGGATGTCAGTAAAACCGGTCAATGGCCGGTTCAACTGGTCAAAACCGGATATAAACCAACTGGTCAGGATTTCTTCTTATCTATGTAAGTGTGATACTATTGTCAGATTCAGTTTAAAACACAATCTTTAAAACCATGCCAAAAAAAAGTTCGAGCAATCAAATTGCATTCGAAATTTGTTGCACAAATCGAACCAAAACTGAATCCGGCCGGCAACATTATAGTCTGACGATCAAAGAAATGAAAACTAATATATATTAATTTGTATCATACTATTTGCACACTGTAGAGAAATCACACAGATTATGTACATAAACCCTCAAACAAAGATTAGTTCCTCATAAGCGACAACTTCATCTTCAAGAGACCCTTTGTGTAACAAATGCCTCCCAAGCTTCCTGCAAAACCACAAACACACTGTTAAAATGAGTCGACATTGTAACTACTCGATTAACAGAATCTTGTACTCGCTTGAAAGTCTTGAATTGCCCCTTTGTGAAGATGTGATTTTTATTCTTTTATAGTTCGTCGAGTTGTGAAAATTTATGCTAATAACAGCTCACCTGAAGAAGTGAAAAAGCTTTATCGGCAATGTATTTCTGCTGTATCGTGGCTCCCCTTTGTTGCAACTTATCAGGGTGTAAGCACAAACGAGCTTTCTGATACGCTTTCTTCACTTGTGAGATCTCGGTTAAGTCTGAAAGAGATACTGCAAACCAACCACTCTCGGGCCATAGAATCTGGAAAAAAAAGAACGACCTGAAAGCTTATGTATATATACATCAGGCAATATACATCATGAGAAAAAACAGCTTTTTTACCTGATGTAAAGAAGATAGAAGAAGTCTGATATTTGCTCGATTGTTAGCAGACCACATTCGTAATTGCTCGTCGAGTATTTGCATTTCATTTTGCACCTGTCGAGATTTTTAAATGTAACAGATTAAACTTTTTTTTTTGCCACGGGCGGAACTAAAAGTAAAAAAAAAAAACGATAGTCTTTTCTTGGCACCTTGGACTCTAACTGTTCTTTATCTTTCCAAGGACCCCACTCATCGCGCTGCCCGTCCTACAAGAAAGAAAAAAGAAAACGGCTCGATAAGCATTCGGGCCTAAGAAAGTTCCAGAACAATCCATGTGAAAACCTTTAAATCGCAGACTGTACCAATAATGGTCCAAAACTATCCGCATGCCCCTGATCAGACTCCTGATGACCGTTAAAGTTTTCTGCGTAAATTCATGAAGTAAGACATAACAATCTTAGTTTTTTTTTTTTTTTCGAATCAAGATTAAATTTTTCATAAATTTTATTTCGAAAGGCGAAAAATCGAACCCTGGGCTGGATTTTTCATCTCGCATTGCGTCTGAAATTTCTCTTTGGCCCAAGCAATCGCCTCATCTACACCATTCGATTCATATGTACTTCTTCCACCTCGATTTTCGGTATTAATCTCGATAACATATGCGCTCATGTCGTCATCATCATCTTCATCCTCCTCATCGTACCCCAAAAATCCATCCTCCATTTTTAGCTTCTCGTCTGAAGATTGACTAACAGAAGAAACTGCCGAAGATAGTGAGTTGAGCTCAAAATCATCTGGAAAGCTATCGTTCGATACGGGATTAAGGCTGATTGTCTCGGGAGATGTGTTTCTTCGGCTTAAACCGAAAGTGTAGCCTTTTAAGATGTCTGTGTCGTAAACTGGCCGAGCGGCTGCAAATGGCTGTTGTTTTTCAGGTTCATATTCATTTAC